AATGAGAAACCTTTTCTCATTTTTAAGTGACTTGAGTTAGTAACGGTTATGTTTGGATAAACCAGGGTCTGTTTTTCTATAAGAAAGATCAATGGACAGGCATAAAAATTTTGTTTCCCCCTTTTCATAAAACAGGTAAAAGAAATCCAGGAAGAATTGGATAAGTTGAGTCCACAAAAAATTAGACATACTAAGAAGGTATGTTATGATTCTAATGAATGGTTATTAATAGAGTACATTTACAGTGTTTAGTCAGTGTTTCGGTATACCTGTTAGGGAGGATCTGAAACAGGTCACTATGTGGTCATTCCTGGTATAGACAGGTCACTGTATGGCCATTCCTGGTATACAGACAACGGGAAAGAAAAGAACTTGTTTCTAGAGAATGTGAGGTTTTATAATTCTCTTCTCTATGAAAAAGGCTTTACAACAGAGAGCACTTTGTGTGACAGATAGACTCCAGATATTCTTAAAGGTTGCTGTGGTGTCGGGAAGTCAGAACCTGAAGTAACCCCTTGCTTCTTGTTTGTTGCCAGTCATGGGCAGTGTCTAGGCTAGCAGCCGCTCATCGAGCAGCCATCCGGGCCTTGCAAGTGTTTGTCACTCAGTTTACTGACCGAGGGGAGCACCCAGTTCCTGCTCGGTGTAGGGAACTGGGCAGCCTTATTCGTCAGTTATCACTGTGTTCTGCCAAGCTGGATGCTGATCCTTCTGTGCCAGACGTGGTCATAGACATCTTGCAGCAAATCGAGGTAGGAAATGGTCTCCAGTTTTTGTTAAAAGGATGTTGTTTCCAAGCAGGGAAATAACTCTGACTCTCTCTAGTTCCAGTCAATGAGACTATAAGGCAAAACTACTGCCTTGCTTGGTAACTTGGTGCTTTGCAAAGAATGTAAGTTTGCATTTTTATTGTCTTTACACTCTGATTTTATTACATAAAAAAGGAAAAGAAAGGAAATTGCAAGGAATTCTTAGATTAGTGCTTAATTATCAGTATTTGATCTAGATAGATTCTAGAAAAGAAACACTTAGGATACATTTAAGCAAGAACCTCAGATCTTGGGTTGACTGGAAACATCTGGCATTCCACAAGTGGCTGTTCTAATCCTGAATGGACAAAGGTCTTAGTTCTCATTGGCTACAGAGACAGCATTAGCAATGAACTCTGGCTTTATAGCTTCTTGGGTTTGCGGAGTACTGCAATACAATGTAGCCTTTTATCCTTGCTACAGTACCCTGACTTACAAATACATTGGTTACTACTATTTAATTTATATTGTTGCTGTTTTTAAAGCAAAGGTCAAAGAGATCTCTTGAGAGCTGAAACTAATTGCCACCTGTACCAATATTACTTCTCTCATACACTTTCATCCATAAATAGGAAAAGATAATCCTGTATTAATAAGCTGTTGGCCCTGGAGGAAGACAGAAAGACATATCTGACTACTACTAACTAGCTCTAGTTGTCCTTAAAGCCTGTTCTGCTTTGTAGTCCTGTTGTCTAGCAAATGTCTCTTATTAGCTTTGGTTACATCCGTGTAGACAGAGCTCACTGTCAGGAGTGTGAGTCTCAAGTGCAGATCTCAGAACTTTTCACAGCGAATCATATCATGTCATTCATGCTTTTTCAACTTACCTGTAAAATATTTACTGGACAAAATAATTTCAAATAGAGGGCCTATCCTCCGAATCCTAGAAAGGATCTCAAGAGATTGCCCCATATTCTGAGCAAGAACACCTTTAACAATGTATCTTAAGCATAATGTAAATATCCCCTAGTTTTGAAAGTATTCAGTTAATGTAGGAAATTAAATACTTGTTGGTTGATTCCTTTCCCGACTTCCTATCTTGTTTCCATATGATCCTCTGAACTCAGCTGAACTCCCTGACTGTGCTCCGTTGTCTTTAATTTGTACTGACCAGTACTGCCTAGTAATGAGTGTGGGTGTGACTAAGAGGATGGGGACATAGACCTCCTGCCATTATTGCCGTGGGCAAATAGCCACTGGTCCCACAAAGTTCCATTAGCTTATGAAAATGTATATTCAGAACTACTTGAGTTCATGAAGTTTTGTTGAAATGAAAGTTAACATGTAGCACATACAGCTATAATCTGAAGACTGTGCTTTGTTTCCACAGTAATGATTCTGAATTTTAAGGTTAGGGCGCCTCTTAAAAATCGTCATATCTTTACTGTTGATTTTAATAAACTAAACTAGTAAAAGAACATGTGGAAATTACTTTTATTAATCCCTGTTATAAACAATATCAATTTTAAACTAATGGGAACATCTTGTTAACCATTAGAGATAGCCATTTAATGACATGTCTCTTTGGAAGGTGATATTTTTCAGTGTTGTGACTAAAGTCATACTCTAGTGGGATAAACTAAGAGAATAATGACTGTTTTGTGACAGGCTTTGGAGTCTCTCCTGGAAAAGAAATTGTCACCTAAAAAGGCAAAGAAATGTTTCACAGAAATTCAGAGCAGATTTCCTATTGGTAGCCAAAAGATCTTAGAGAGATGGCCAACTGTACTGCCCAAGAATGAGAGGAGACCCTTGGTCACAAAGGAGACATTTCCACAGGAAACCAATCGACCTTCTGTGGCAAAGAGACTTCTTGCAGGTATATGTCTCAAAATGTTACTGTGTGGTATTTTACTCTGTGAAATTGCAAGTTACTGCATCACACTGGGAAGTCGGAATTTGTGGCTCTGTCCAGGAGAACTACTTGTCCCTAGGATCAGAAAGTAACATCTAGCATCTCTTAGGACTAGAGACTGGAATATGCTTCTATAGAAGACCTTGAGCAAATCAAATCCCCTTTGCTCTATCACAGTGTTAAGCTGATTGTATTGTACTGGCGTGTGGATACACACATGTGCACTTGACGTTTGTGAATTTCTGGATCCTCATCCTAGGAAGTGGGTTGTCAGATTGTGTGGTATGCACATTTGAGCAGATTTTGCCAATTTACCCCTTGAAAGTATGTGTATGCTTCTGTTTTGATGAGTGGTATTTTATATAATAAGATCTGAATGTTTCCAGCCTCTCAGTGGGAAATGGCATCTCACTGTTGCTTACTGAGGCTCGATCCCCTTGAGACTGTTCATGGCCTCCTTGCCTGTGCTTATTGCTGCTCAGATCTCCCCTGTTGTATTCTTTATCCCTTTCCTTGTTGGGTTCCATGTCTTTTTTACTTACGAATGTAAAAGTTCTGTGGATAGTGTAGTTCTTAATCTTTCTTTGTCTTTTCTTTTTTTGGCTTACATATATTATAAATATTTTCTCCTACTTAGTTACTTATCTTTGGAATTTGTTTATGGTGTTTCTTTCTGGTATAGAAACTTAATTGTGTGGGCAAATCCATCAGTCTTACTCATATTTTAATATTTGATAAGACAACTAATTTTTCTTTATTATTATTATTTTTTTAAGATTTACTTGCCATTGCTCACTCTGAGAAATGTAGAGTGAGCTTATTGAGTGTGGGTGTGCTGCTGACAGTCTGTGTTAGCTCATGAGGAAGAGATGGCCATACAGATGAGTGCTCATTCAGGCTTCTTTTCTATACCTCAGTCCAGTGGTAGAGCTTTCTACATAGGGTTTTATTAAGTTCCTTGCTACATAGATTTCTAGTTTTCTGTCTTATAGATTTTATTGCTGTTGTGAAAGAAATTTTGCTACACAGATTTCTAGTTTTCTGTCTTATAGATCTTATTGCAGTTGTGAAAGAACTTTTTATTAATTATGAAACTGGTTATTACTACTTAAATGGGAGTTGTTGGGTTTGTGCATTAGCGTCACATCTGGCAGTGCCTTGAAGTCTTTTATTATGACACTGTGTTTCACTGGGCCTGCACAGTTGAAGATTTCTGAAACCAGAGAACTTTTCTTTCTTAGAGCTAGAGATCCAGCCTTTGCACATCCCGGCAAACATGGTGCCCCTGAGCTGCACAGCCAGCTGGAAGGCATCCCTCAAGCCCTGAAGTAGAGCCATCCTGCCTATGTTGCTTAGTAGCCCAGGCCAGCCTATAAAACTGAGGCTGACCTAGAACTTTGCAAACCTCATGTGTTAGGCTTCTGGGTGCTGGGATTACAGGTATGAACCACAATATTCTGCTAAGGGATGTGTCTGGTAACCAATTGCGACACTTAAAATGTTTAATATTTAAAATTCCTAATGAATAGTGATGTGTATTGTAAACTGATGTTTTAGATTTGTTGTAATCAAGGATTTTGTTGCTTGATCTTTTTGACATTTTCCAGTAGATGAGATAATCTATAAACATTTATGGATATAACCAGTAATCTAATTTTCCTTTCTAAAAAAAGTTCTGTTTTATTTATAATTATAACTGGAGAGGAGGGAATGGGTGAGGTTGGTAGGAGTATGTGTGGTGGTCAGAGGACAACCTTGAGGAGTCAGTCCTCCCCATCCACCGTGGGTTCCAGGAGTGAACTCAGGCTGTCAGTGCATAGTAAGCGCTTCCTATCCTCTCAGCTGTCTTACTGGCCCTAATATTTATTTTTTTTAATGAGATAGAAGATACAGATAGAGAAGTGTACAAAGTGTCAACCCACTGCTGAGCTAATACCCAGAAAGAGAATGCCGTGCTCATTATGAACTGCCTGCAGTAGACTAGCGCGACTGTACCTCGGAAATGCCTTTTGTCCTCCTCCCTCTCGCCTGGCCTCCTGTATGTACTGAATTCTTAAAAATATTTTAGTTTTGGTTTTAATTATATGTATGGAGTGCCCATAGAGAGCAGAAATAGACAGTGTATCCTCTAGAACTTAGAGTTACAGGCAGTTGTGAGTGGCCTGGCCTGGGTGCTGAGGTGAGCACGTTTTAAACTTCTGAACTATCTCCAGGACAGAAGTTAATCCCCCTCCCACACCAGACAGAGTCTCACTGTATAGACCAGGCTGGTCTTGAACTGAACTGAGATACGCCTGCTTCTGCTTCCTGGGTGCTAGGATAAAAGGCGTGTGTCACTATTCTCAGCTATGGTTGGTTTTTTGAACCCTGTTGTAGAGTCCATATTTAACCTTAGATTTACCAAGAGCTATACAAATAATTGAAGGTTAATTAGCAGAGTAACTGCATATAGTAATTCTGCCAGTCTCCTTCAGACAAAAAAAATAAAGGATTTATTAGGTAAGTAGCAGGCCTTTATGAATATGTGACCTTTAGTTTTTTTTTCATTTATGAAACTGTGAATTCAGAAAATAGATATGTATAATGTAGTCATAGCAGATGATTTGGAACCTGGGCTTGAAACCCTAGTTCCAGCAGTCAATTGCTAGGCTGACTTGTATGAACTTCAGTTTTTCCCTTTGTGAATAATGGGCATAATTTCTGCTTCCTGCAGCTACCATGAAATTGCACAGAAAAAGTCTGATTAAGTAGTAGCTGTTGTTATTAACCCTGTGTTGTGTTTTTTTTTTTAATTTACCAAGTGTAATGATTTCAATTTTCTTTGACCTTATTTTGTGCTTTTCAGTTGCCAATGTTACAATGTTTCCCCTCATTGTAACTTACTGTGTCAACATTTTTTGTTATTTCCCTTCTCTTGTGATCAGAAACTTACATGAGTGTCTCATATCTGTTAGAGCGTTTGTCCATCTACTGCTCTTCTGTGGACCCTGAACAGCTTAGTGTTTCACCTGTAGCCTCTGTGGAGCCCTGAGTGATGACAGGAGGGGCAGTTCATTGAGGGTGTGGGGAGGGGGTTCTACAGCTCAGCTCAGTTCTGACAGGTGGAGTAGGGTCTGGTCCACAGACAGAAGGCTCAGTTCCAGAAGACAGCCCCACTTGAGATACCAGTTGCAGGTCTTAGGTTGTCACTTGACATTCTAAATCTAGGCTTGGTAGGATTGCTCACCTAACTCACATATATCCAATACAAAGGCTACCACACAGGACACAGGTGAATAGTCAGACAGGAGGTACCTAAGACCAGGAATGTGGGAAGGGGCACTACAACTCCAAGAACTTCCATGTATATAGCAACCCAAAAGCTCTCTGAAGCCCATAGTGTAAGAGGTTATCATGGAGCTTTCATCACATGGACAGGATTGATTATAATGCAAGCCCTACCCATGTTCTACCCTTCCTTGAATGTGGAGGATGTACAGAATACAGGAGGCTTGACTCTCACTCACCCTCCTTGTGAGGCAGAGTCCAGGCTTGCTTGGTTCTCACTCACCCTTCTTGTGACCTTGAACAAATGCTTCATTTGTTTTCCTCACCTGAAGAATTTTAGTAATCCTGTACTGCCTGCTCTGGGAGGCAGCATGATAGGGCACATATGGATGTGAATTCTGTACCAAACGTGAGGCATGGTAATAGCCACGCTGTCAACATTACTATGGAGTGAAACTTGGCTATATGTAGCCGGTTCACAAGTGTCATGTGCTTGTTCCTGGGAAGCAATGTGGTGATCTTTAGTTTTGTTTTTCTTGTTCTTATGATTGTTCAGGTCATATTTTTTCTCTTTCTATTTTAGATAGCACTCTTCATGTTCCTAATTCTTCATTCTTATTTCCTGAAGTTCCTGCTCCCTACCCATTACTTCTAAAATATTATGGGGAGCCCCAAGGGAGGGAAAAAATGTCTCTGTGTCATTGGGATTTATGATTGAGCCTAATTGGGTCAGCTTCCTTGTGATTTGAGTAATTGTTGGCTAGTGGATTTCTTAGAGGCTTCTAACTACTGATTGCATTGTGTGAGGATGGCTGGTGGCTGCCACTCTGCTGGCAGCAGTGTCCTCAGACTCAGCTTCCCGGGGATTTGCACTGCATTTGCTGTCTGATTGATGCCATTCACAACTGAAAAGGTGTCAGGACCTATCAGCCAGTGTTGCTTCAATAGCTGTAATTTGGGAGTTACTAAGCTGTAGATTAACAGGAGTTAGTCCTGGCATTCTTCTGTTCTGCTTTGTAATACTCGTTGTGAAACTGACTGAGCTTTGAGAACAGCTAAGGAGAACAGTCGTATGGGGGGCTCTGGGTCCTGACTTACTGTTGCTAAGGAAGAATCTCAATAAAGTTTCCTTTGGTTCATATGTATATGTATATGTATATGTATATGTATATGTATGTGTGTATATGTTTTACATCTCAACTGCAGTATCCCCTCCCTCCCTCTCTTCTCTCCTCCCAGTCCCTCCCCTCTGCCCCCGTCCAAATTTACTCCTCCTCTGTTTCCCTTCAGAAAAAGCAGGCCTCCCATGGGTATCAACTAAACATTGCATATCAAGTTGCAATGAGACTAGCAACCTCCCCTTGTATTAAGGCTGGCGAGGCACCCCACTATGAGGAAAGGAGTCCTAAAAGCAGGCAAAAGAGTCAGCCCTTGCTCCCACTGTTAGGAGCCCCCAAAGAAGACCAAGCTACACAACTGTGCCACATGCAGAGGACCTAGGTCAGTCCCATGCAGGTTATCTGGTTATTGATTCAGTCTTTGAGCCCTTATGAGCCCAGGTTAGCTGAATCCGAGTTTTCTTGTGGTGTCCTTGACCCCTCTGGCTCCTGTAATCCTCCCCCTCTTCTGAAGAATTCCCTAAGCTCTACCTAGTGAGAGTCTCTGCATCTATTTCCATCAGTTGCTGGGTGAAGCCTCTCTGATGACAATTGGACTAGGTATCAATCTATATGAGTATAGCAGAATATCATTAGGTATCTTTTCATTGATTTTTTTTCCAGTCATGTTTGGTTCAATCTAAATAGAAAGGATGAAAATAATAAATATCCTGTATCTACTATGCAGTTTAAAACATTTTACTCTGGAATTTAAAAAAAAAAAATGTGACAAGTACTGTTAAAGTCCCTGGAATACTTCCCTCCATTCCATTTTCTTCCTTCCCTTTCTGGAGGTTTCCATTATGAACCTGTTCTGTTTTATGTCTGAGCTGCTTATGTATGTGTCTATAACATATTGCTTCACACATGTGACCACATGCAGTATATATCAGCCTGTAATATGATTATTTTTAAATTATAAGACATAGTCATAGGTGAAGTCTAATTTTTCCAGTGCTAGTGTTCAAATCCAGGGCCTTACATACTAGAAACACTGAGCACCTCTGATCTAGTAGCATCAGTTCTGAGTAGCACCCCTAGTTCAGAGGATTCTAACTTTTAACTCTTATGTGGGTCTCCTTTGTATGAATTAACCGTAAATGCTTTTCATCTTTTCATGAATATCAGCAAACACTTGGGTTATTTCAGTTTCTGCCATCAGTCTGTATGTGTGGCACAAGGTGTCACTACGTTGACTAGGATGGCCAGAACTCCTGGCATTGAGCAAAGCCTCTCTTGTACCTCCTGAGTAGCTGAGAATACACAAAGATGTTACCATGCCACTATGCTGGCTGGTTCTGCTTTTATAAACAGTGACAGGGTGACGTCAAAGCCGGCGCCTCCTCTCTGTGTTTACATGTGCAAGTTCCCCGGGCTGAGCATGCCTGTAACTAAGCTGCTATACTGAGAATCTTAAGTCTCAGAGCGTTGATGGAGCCACTCTTGAGGGGAGCTAACTACTTCACTCCTACACTACTGGTTTCTGAGTTCTCTCCTTCCTCATTTATGTTTGTATCATACTTGACATTTCCCCATTCTAATGGTTAAGAATCCTAGCTTATGGCTTGATTTTCCTGATTACTAAATGAGGTTTATCATTTTTTTTTTTTTTTGAGTCATGGTTTCTGTGTAGACTTGGCTGTCCTATAACTCACTCTGTAGACCAGGCTGGCCTTGAACTCATAGAGATCGGCCTGTCTCTGCTTTGTGAGTGCTGGGATCAAAGGCGTGTGCCACCACCTGGCTGTTTATCATTTTTTCATGCTTTTATTGACCACTTATTTTTCTGCCTAATTTGTAGCTTCTATAGTTTGCCCATTTCTCTGTTGAACTGCTTATTTCCTATATAGATTTGTAAAAGTTCTTTTTATCATCTGGGTACTGATGCCATGTTAATTACACATATTTCATGGCTCTCCTTCCAGATTTGGCTGATTTGTTATGGTGATTTTTTTTTATCAAAAGCTAGAGTTCGGTGTAAGTAAACTTTAATAAATTGGTATCATGTTTGAGCTTAAGGCAGTCTTTTCTGCTTTGATGGCTTGATAGTATTCTCCTGTCGTTTCTTCTTAAAGCTCAGAAGGACTTCATGCTGTTTGTGAGCTAAGCCCTTTTCAATGTGGGCATAGCTTCCACTTTGAGCTTCCACTTTGATTTTGATGTGTGCACAGTAGTAGTCCTCAGTCCATAGCTGCTGCTCTGTGGCTCCCATCCTCTGCCATTGGTCCCTGAACCACTCCACACTGCCTTACTAAGATTCCTGTCTCTGGGCAAGAAAGACTTTTGCCTCCACTTTATTTCCCATTTTGTTGTTGCTTTTCAAATTTGTTGGATTAATTTTTAGAATTTTACTCTTCATATGAATTTTTAAAATTTGATTTATTATTTTACGCATGAGTGTTTTACCTGCGTCTGCTTATGTGTACCACATGCATGCGTGGTGCCCTCAGAGGTCAGAAGAGGGCATTAGATTACCTGGAACTGGAGTTGTAGATTGCTATGAACCATTTTGTGGATGCTGGGAACCTAAACAGAGTCTTCTGGGGGAAAACAATGCTCTTAACTTCTGAGCTATCTGTCTGGCCCCTTCATAAGAATTTTAGGATCAATTTATTTAAGTTTTGCATGCTTGCTCGTTTGGTTTTTGGTAGAGACCCACTATTGGGCCCTTATTGACCTGGGACTTTCTACTGACCTGGGACTTTTCTGTGTTTGTCAGACTCAGCTCAAACTCAGAGATCTGCCTGCCTCTGCCTCCTGAGTGCTGGAAATAAAGGTGTGTACCATAATACCCAGCTGGATCAATCTGTGTACACACACACACACACACACACACACATACACACACACACACTTTAAATTTGATATGCATTTGAAATTGTAGATCACTTGGTGGGGAACTGATGTGCTTACAATGTTCAGTCTGTAAAGAAAACTTGATTCAGATTTTCTTTCATGTCCTTTTAATGGCCAGGAATATAGTCCCAGCACTGCAAAGATAAAATAAAAGCTTTGTAATGTTTTCTGTGAAATTCCTGTATGTTTTTCATTAGATT